AAGAACAAAACGTGGTGGGGAGAATTGTAGAAATGGTGGTGTGATAGATTTGTAATTTTTAAAGTTATCGATTTTTCGCTACGCTTTTCGTTGTATTGCCTTTCCATGCTGCTACGCCTGAAAATCTCCCAACTGAGATTTTACTAGGGGAACCATTTACCAGCCACATATATGCTGTTTTATGAAAAGGTTCTGTAAAAAATGTGCAAATGTTTTTTGTTTTCTAGCCGGTCGTGGCCAAAGAACTAAACACATTGGTGCAGATAATATAGCCTAATCAGAAATATTGACTAAATTTATCGACTTTTCGATTGCTACGCTTTTCGTTGTACTGCCGAAAACGGAGCGCCTACAAGGGTAAGTTAGCACACCAATCAAGTGATAACCAACTAGAAAGTGGTGATTAGTTTTGTTTCTGTTTCCGGAACTTATGCTCTAGTTTGCTAGAAAATTGCAAGGGCAAGTTAGCATGCTGTCTATGAAATGATAAAAATCTAGCGACATACTGATCTCCTTTGTCGACTTACGATTCTTGCAATTTTCGGTATTTTTGCTACAGGCTGCTGAAAGTCATTGCATGGGGTAGATGGAGCTGACTTTGCTAACATGGTGGCAATCACGAGAATGGCACTATTGTGTGCATTATATGTTTGTTCTCAATTCTTCAGTATCTTACAGAACGCTTCATATCTATCAGTTGAACTGAGCTAGCCACAAAAATCAAATCAAAACTCAAGAAATGGAATAAAGCATAGCTATAAACAGCGCTGTGCATGGCAAATATAGGCAACCTCTTATCCAATAATATGGTTGTGCAGTATTAGAAAAAAGACCATAACGAACAAATGATCAACTTAGTAAGCTTAAAACATCGATTTATGACATTAATATGAAATATTAACAATACTGCCCGATAAAGATAGGTTCGTTACCACAAAAAATTCCGAAGACAAATGGGCGATCCGCATAAAAATCTATGGGTAAGCCCATCGAAGCGCAACCCAAAACCATCGTGAATGCTGTTACTGCTGCTGCTTCCGTTCCTTCTTCATTCACCTGCAAATTAATCAAGTTACTGTGGATGATTTTTTAGCTTGGAGGTATAGGGTATTTAAAAACTGCAGCGTTCATCTTGCTGTAACTTTTTTCAGTTCAATAAACATTTGTTCTTGGGAGATTTAGCAGTTGGTACAGACGGTAGAGGATGCATTATAGTCAAAACTCGGCAACAAGTCTCCGGAGGGCAAGTAGGAATCAGAGGATAGTGGCGATGAGAAGTTATAAGAAGTCCGACCTAAAGCCTTTCTCTCTAATTTTGTGCCTTTCCCATCACTCACTTTACAACAGTCTCCGACTACCACCCTTTGTATAATAAATATGTCCCCAAGTCCCAAGCTTTGAGAGGGCATCTTTGCGGGTAATTCAGATATTCAGTATATCACTTATATCAGCCGTTTTTTAAGCTAGAAGCCTCCAAATTTGGGAAGAAATGCGGCAAGGAGTTTAAGGATTGTATGCGAAATTTTTGAAAGCCGATGAGAATAAAAATCACCTTTCCTTTTTCTTTGGGTCTCCGGCGGGGTCCCAAAGGAGACTCAAGTTTCCGAATAGACACTTTCGTTATTCACATTTGCTTTTCTTATATCAAACACTTTTCCCCTTACCCCCCTCCCCTGCTTAACCCAACTCATAGCGCACTAAGGAGTCCAAGCACTTTATCTTCCTTGCTAGAGTCGATCGTTTTACCTTAAGGGGGAAAACGCGCTTTAAATAAGCAGCGCTGCAGTACTATTCCTGTTTGCATCCGTTCCCCAGCTTACAAACGGGGTTTCTTGATTTGCTGGTTCAAGAGGGTACTCGTCCCCGTAAGGTTCAGGTGGAGACCTCATGTTGAGGCCTGGTTATAGTATATCCTACTTGTTTTTGCACCAGCAAAGAATTGCGTCCAAGAACTGCAGGCGAGTCTGTTAAAAGAAAGAAGATGATGCATTTTAAAATGAACTGGATGCTAGCTGATCTGCTTCAAATGCAAAATGATTTTAGCACTTAAGGGAATTTTCTATGAAAAGCAACACCACACTTTGCACATACGCATTTTTGAAATGTACAATATGGGTTACATCGTCACTTCTAGTTTTACAAAATTCCATCCTCCTGGTTAGAACACAATTTTCGATAATTCTAAGAACAAACCTCCACTACAGCTTTGTGAATGACATCGTCGACATAAAGGTTTTCTCTGTCAGACACTCCTTTTAAATCACAACTGAACTTGAAGAGTTGATTAATCCCAATGTGTTCCAACATTTCTTTCACCTGCGGTTCAGATGTGAGTTTAAACTTTGGGATGATCACCTAGAACAGAATGGAAAGATTTTGAAACTACTCTGGCGCTTATCACGTCACTTACATTTACGCTAGACTTATTCGCATGCATATGGAACCTTTTCAAAATTTCACCAGTCAATAAAGCCCGGAAGTCTTCGAATTTTACTCTTTCAGAAGGTAGAAAAACTACGAATTCGTAATTGTGGTCCTAAATGCTTTAGAAACTGCAGAGTTCTTTGCAGACACAAAGTTTAAAGGTAGTCAAAGTAGGAGTACCTTATAGGGTAATGCCAAAACCTCAACCTCATCTTCTCTATTGTATCTGCATTCTTCGAGTTGGTGAAACCGCATGAAAAATTCCTGAAATAAACGTAAATCTTATGTTCTTAGAACTCTTAAGACGGATCCAATTTTTCAATGGCTTAGTTTGGAGGTCCAGTTGGTTTGAAACTCCTAGACCTTTTTCTATTGCTGAGATTAGATCAAGGGTAATACAAAGTGACGTCATTATCAAGAAAGCCGTATTCCATATTCGCCCAAAATTTCTCTTGTTCACTTTT